CATGGGTGTGGTGTGTGCCACACCAGAGTGTGACAGACTCGTTTTTAGAATCCCAATCAGTTTGGGATTGTGCTTTGTTATAAATAGAGACACGTTTTTAGGGTTTCTTTGGCTTTGTTTAGGCTTTGATTGAGTTTTTATTAAGCATTGATTGGGGGATATTTGGAGCATAAAAAGAGGTATTTTTTTTGAGCTTTTGATTAGGGTTTTATTTGGAAAGATTAAAAGTTTTGTTGGTGAGATTAGTTTGTTCCTTCGAGTGATTTGTAATCTCAGTTTGTACTCTTTCTCTATTAGTGAAAACCCCATCCCCTTGCCCCGTGGACGTAGGCAACTTGCCGAACCACGTTAAAATTAGTGTTTTGTTTGTGCATTGATTTTGGTTGGTTTTGGCCCTCTTTGATCGGCGTTTGGTTTGGTTCCTCGACACGGTTTTCAACAACAATTGGTATTAGAGCACAACAACTTTCGTTCCCCTTACTAAACTCCCAAATAACATTTTATCTTTTTACTCTCATTCCCTATCTTTCATTTTCATTATTTAACTTTCTGTTCATTCCCTTACTAAACTCCCAAATAAAGCATTAATGTTTTTGAAAATAACATTTTACTTCCATCGATTTATATTCTGCTATGTTACCCTGTGTCCTTTGCTTTCGTGACTTGTCTTAACTAGATTTGTTTCTGCATCATTTGTTTCCACTATATTTTTCTACCCGACTATTTTGAACTATGTTAAATTAGTCTGAATGATAGTCGGTACAAAATTAAACATTTGATTGCATTAAAATCATACTCCCTTTAAAAAGCATGAGTTCAGAAAAATCTTTCTATAGTTAACAATACCCTTTATTATTTTAAATATTTTATTTATATGTTAATCTTTTCTAATCATAACTATATCCTATCCTAATCCTACGTGAATTATATATAGTTTAACAATTTTAAAAAACAATATTAACAAAAAATTATAAAACATCTTTATGGTATTAGTTTGTTAAGATAAAGAAATTATACGTAGCTAATATATTATAATACATGAAGTATTGCAAAAAACTTAAAAATTATCAAAATTGCACAAAATACCTGAAAAGTTTAAAATTATAAAAACCATCTCGACGTCTCAAAACTTAAAGCAGAAAACATGAAATCAAAAAATTATCAGTAGTTTTCAAAGAATTTAAAATTTGTAGTTAACCCCTCAATGTCTCAAAAATTATAGAAATACCCTCAAAATTTTAAATTACAAACAAGCACCATGAAATTCTAAAATTTTAAAGCTTACAAACAACATAGATAAATTCAAGGGATTACCATAATGCACCTAAAAGTTTCTGATATTTCAATACCTAAAATAACAAACATGAAATCAAGAAATTAACAGCCGCCTCCGAAGAATTTAAAATTTTTAATTAACACGCTCAATGTTTCAAAAATTATAAAACGCCATCAAATGTTCAAATTATAAAAAAGCACCCTAAAATTCTAAAATTTTAAAATTCACAAACAACAAAAGATGAATTCAAGAGATTATCCTTAGGCACCTAAAAATTTATAATTAACCAAAATTAACCTCAAAGTTACAAAAATTGTAAGAACACTCCTTCAAAATTTAAAAATCATAAAAAACTCTAAAATTTTAAAAATTATAACTAGTGCACATACAAACTAGAAACTATTGGTAGACCATTGAAATTTGAATTTTTTAAAAACTAACTTATAGTTTTAATAATTGCAAAAAACATCCTCAAAATCTTAGAGTTGTAAGTAATATCTTGACATTTAAAAATTATCACCAACACATGAAATATAGAAGTTACAATTACCAAACTTAAAAGTAATTTTTTTAAAATACTCCCAAAGTTTTAAAAATTACAAATTACACCCTCAAAGTTTAAAATCACAAAAGGGCTAAAATTTTAAAACTTGGCAATATATATATATATATATTCTAATTTAGGGTTTATTATCCTTTTTCAGCATCTAAAAATAGTCTAAGTTGATACGGATAAACAAAAGTAATAAGAATTGATTAAAAACATCCTGTGAAGGAATAAAATTTGAAAAATATTATAATTTAAAAATTATCATCGCTATATAAATTAAAGTAACTGCATATAATTTTACTAATAAGTTGGAGTAACAAAATACATTAGTAACATTAATTGATAGTTGTTTAAATCCATAAAAATGATAAAAGACTATAATATAATAGCTTAACATTCATTGATTATAATTTAGAAATATTAATCTATGATGATAATAATATTTATAGGATAAAAGAATATAATGAATTATATATAAAGAAATTATCAGAATGTTTAGAGATATTCTTCAAAAGAATCAAGTTATTTCTATTGCAATTGGGAAAGTGACGGAAATAAATCTAAAATTTAGAAAACGTCCATGAATCACTTGAATTAGCATTAAAATAAGATATATCTATTAAAGAAAAACCGACCGAGTTACATTGAAGAATAATTTAATAACTTTATCTCAATTAAAGAAGAATTCTCCATGGAAGATATAAGAAAAATTAGTATGTGTTCATAAAATTCATCCTTTCTTCTTGAAATATTAAAGAAATTACATATTAATATTATAATCTAAGGTAGATTGGCAATAAAAAATATAGATATTTAGTTTAGATCTTTGTGAAAAATAATAGGATAGTTTAAACTCTTATTGGATACACATCAGAAAAATTATTGTAGAGAAAAAAGAGGTAGCTCCTAATCTTATTTAAGTAATATAAATTAGGAATACAAAGAATTTTATATATTTGAAATTAATATTTATTCTTATTAAAATAGAAAAAAGTTAAAGTCTGCATTTCAAGAAGTTTTTGTTGAACATAGGAAATACATTTAGCTTCTTTATAAAGTTAAATGAGAAGATAAAAGATTAACGAGCCCATAAAAGATAACAGTACAAAAATACAACTCCAGCCTAATGTTACAATCGATATAGATGATGAAGACACTATTCTAGAATTATCCGGGAAAAAGATAAATGTGAAGAAGAATTGATCTTAGCTCAATAAAAAAACAAAACAGAATGAATAAAAATAATAATATTTTCTAAATATTTTATAAAATAGTTTAATTATTTCGAGTAAAATTATGAATCTTTAGAATGGAGTTTCATGAACTTTTTAATACTTTTATATGCATATGTGGATGCTTTTATCATATAAAAATATGCTAGAGTTACCATTAATTATTAATTTATAATTTTTTATGAAGTCTATTAATGATTACAAACACACTTCATATTCTCTTTTTATCTCGTTTTAAAATACTCTTAATCAATCATTTTGTATTATTGGTTTTAGATATTCTCCTTTCTTGCATAACACTATTTCAACATTTTTCACTTTTACAGCACTGTACTTTCTAAAGTAAAACTCAGTTTTATCTCAGTCAAAATAATATAAAAATTTTAATTAGCTTCAAATTATATTTATTTTCTGTTAATTTAAATATCAACATGAAAAATTAAATTGGGTGTGGCTCATTTAAATAGTCATCAAAGAAAATAAATAATCATAATATTAAAGTTTAGAGATAAAAGTGAGCACAAATTATTAAAGTGGAACTGATGAGCAAATTTTAATTAGAAAGTAAGCCAAAAATATTCAATCATGATATTTAATCACGCACGTGTATAAAACTTAGTAGTCTTAAAATAACACAGTTTCAGTAATATAGTCGGGAGAGCATAACACCCATAGCAAGATGGGAAAAAGAAACATGACGAAGTATCCTTTTCAAAAATTAAAAAAATAAAAAGTAAAAGGGGAAAAAAACGAATCCATCAATCAAATCAGATGTCTTACCTGCGTAGTGTACCCGTGCCTCTGCATCACGCAAAATCTAAAGAGTTTCAATGATTTCCTCTGCAGGACAAATTTTCAAATTCGACCTATTTAGAAATTTATTTGCAAAAATTGATCGGTTTCCAACTTAATTATCAATTTGGAGAAAAACATTACGAAACTTCACGGGAAGTCCCGTGAAGTTTAAGTCCTCGCTAAGGAACTTGATTAGGGGGTATTTAAGTTCACATGACTTGAAGTCCCGTAAAATTTTTTTAGCTATGGCAACTTCACAGGACTTGAAGTCCCGTGAAGTTTCTGCTGTTGCTTTGGCAGTCAAAGGCGACTTCTTTGCACCGGGCCTCTTCTCGGGAAATTTTGCGGGCTTCTTCTCCTCCGCTGAACTCGGCGTGGCGACTACAGTCTCTACTTCTTCAACTGGTTCGATGACACATAAGCTCAAACACCTCGGGGGCATGCAAGATTGTAATTGTGGTTTTTAAGAAAATTTTTTCTACCTTCAGGTTTGGGATCTAGAGTGGCGACAACTAGGGGAGTCGAGGTGGCCTTTGAAGCGGATTGCTTACCCTTGGTCGCCCTTGTGACTTTGGGTGTTGATTTGGTTACGGTTTCTGGTGTTTTTTCGTCGGCCGAGGCGGTGGCTGTTTTCTTTTGTGTTGGCGTTCTCTTCGTGGGACTAGATTTGGGTGTAGTGAGGTTTCTCGTCCTCATTATTTACGAACCCAAAGAAACCCTAATAGTATCAAACGAAAGGAGTAGCAGAGTTCGATAAAGAGATTGATCGAACCTGAAATTCGGACTGAGACTTCACGGAACTTCAAATTCGTGAAGTTTGGGAAAAGTTTACCATATCGATTAACAAATGCTTATTGTTCACGGGGTGCTTAAACTTCACGGGACTTCAAGTCCCGTGAAATCTCTGAAGTCCCGTGAAATCTCGTAATGTTTTTCTTCAAATTCGACCTAGTTTCAGCAAACTAGCTGAAACTAGGATCGAATTTAGTAATTAAGTTGAGAACAGATCGATTTTTACAATTAAGTTTCTAAATCGATTTTTACAATTAAATTTCTAAATAGGTGGAATTTGAAAATTTGTCCTCCGCAAAATCTACATAAAAATCCAGATACAAAGACGTCTCTTGATTCCTTGGCCCCAGTCGGCAAATAAATCCCTAGCTCCAATTCTCGTTCTTCTCCCAAAAAAAAAAAAAAAAAAACCTTTTTTTCTCCCTTTTATTCCTTTTTACCCCCTCTCCCTAAGCGGAATAATGTCGGGCACCGAAACCGCTACGAACTCGTCCGATCCGACGAAGATCGGAGAAGAAAACCTAGAGAAAGACTACACCTCCTCCTTCGAGTGCTGCGTCTGCCTGTAAGTTTTTTATTTTATTTTTTATCTCAGAATCCCCTCAATTATTAATAGATTTAGCTCGTTATTGCTTAAAATTTCCTTTTAGGTCAAATATGCTAGTTTCTTGAGATAAAGTTTATTAGATGCGATATAAATTGTTCATGAAAGTTCAATACTGTAGTGTATGCAGATTCGAGATAGCCATAACTATAAGAATTTGTCCCGTGGAACCCCTTAAACTTTTGATATGGCACCTTTTGCCGTTGAAATCGGCAAAATTTGCCTGTTATTACTGATTCTAACTGCAAGTTCTGTGAGAAAAGGAGTTTCTACTTGAGTTCGTAACGTTTGGATAGTTGCGGCCTTTTGTCTGTTGAATTCACCCAAGTTGGCCTGAAGAAACGACAGCTGCACTAGCGTTCAAACTGTTATTGCTGATTCTAGCTTGTAATTGCAAGTTTTTGTCCTGAATTAATCATTGAAGTATCAGGTTTTAGCTTGTTGTAGCTGATCCCTTATTTAACTTGTAATGCTTGGAATCAAAAGTTTGCCCTTTTCTTTTTACGCCAAATATGTTAATTTCCCAAATTGTGATCATCTAACCTTGACCATACAGTGAGGGCTACAGAGTCCAAAGTCGTAAGCTTATTTAAGCTCTGCTTGTTTCAGTGTGTGTGTGAGGGGGAGGCAGATCCAGAATAACTGAAAGAACCTGAGAAAGTAAGTTTATAGATAACATGACCGGGTATGCAGCTGCTGTTTATAGATGCGAATGGATGATTCTAGAAAGTAATAGCGGTAATAGCTGTAGATTGGAGGTAGATTTTTCTCAAAAGTCGAAACCCCTCAAATTGGTAAATTCTTTACCTGAATGAATCGCAGAAATTCAGGGTTTTAGCTTGTTGTTCTTGATTACATGAATTTGTGATGTTTGGGATTAGAGTTTGTCCCTTTCTCTCTTTAGGTCAAATACGTTAATTTCCTGAGTATATTTTCTATCCTAGAAAGTTATAACTGTTTGTGTATGCAGATTTGAGATAGCAATGTCTGCAGGGTTTCCTGTGAGAGTCCCTTAAAATTTTTGACAGTGGCAGGTTTTGTCCGTTGAATTCTGCCAAATTAACCTGAATGAACAACATCCATTTAGTATTTAACCTGCTGTTCCTGATTCTAGCTCGTAATTGCAAGTTTTGTGATCAATTTTTTCTTAGTTTTAGATGTTAGAGGGTGCTGTTCAAATTTATATGTTTCAATTTTCTTTGCTGGTCGAAATGTGCAAGTTCTTGAGCTAATCTTATTAGGTTCTTTTTCCCTAAGCTCATTAGATGCACTTCTTTGTGGATAAAGATGATTCTGAAATTCATATATGTAGTATTTAAAGATTTGAAATATCATGGCATTTAACTTGTGAGAATCGAGGAGTCTTACGATTTTTTTAATATTATTAGATTGTGGAATCTTAATTCTAATGTTTCTCTTCTTTTAGCGAAACGGTGGGATAAGTCTTAATGGCTACACTGGGATTTCAAATAGTTTTAATGCAAGGGCCTGCATTAATTTGAGCACAGCATGTATTAATTCACTATTTTTCCGGGTTTTGAGAAATGTACTGTATTCAGTGTGTTTGAGAGTCAAAATGTAAGGTTGATCTAAATCAAATTCTAGGCTTACAACTTACTATCGTCAAGACCTGTCCACCTAGGACGGATTGTTTATTTAATCTTGATCACTTACATAAGAATTAACTTCTTTCGATGTTATAAAAAGCGGCCAAGTTAATTGTTTATGCCAACAATCATTTTGGCACTCGTTTTGGGCCTTAGCAAGCAAATATGTGTATTTGGACCTCAGCAAAGAATAAAATAAGGATAGCAATAAGGGAAGAAAGAAAAGGAAAAATTAACATACTCATCCATTGTTGTTAATAGTCAACACCATAAGTTACTGTCATGGATCAAATTTCTTAAAGATGAATTCTGTCTGTTATACTCATATATTCCTTTTTTTTATCATGATTAACAGTGCATATGGGAGATAGAACGATCAAGAAGGATATGATAATGTTAAACTTAATGGAAAGGAAAGAGCCTATAATGCATATCGATAGTCAAGAAATATCTAAAAGTAATCATTCGTTATTTAGGATCAATCATTCAGTATGATAGTGAGATTCATGATGATGTTGTTCATTGAAGCAAATAGGATGGTTAAAATGGATGAGTGCTTCGAGAGTCTTATGTGATCGTAGAATACCAATGAAACTAAAAGAAAATTTTTATGGGATACCAATAATGCTTTATGGATCAGAGTGTTGAGCAATTAAAAAATAACATGTGCAAAAGATGAGTGTAGAGAATGTTGTGATGGTCATGTGGATATACACTAAAAGATAAGATAAGAAATGAACGCATCTGTAGTAAATTAGAAAGTTGTTTTATATGAGGATAAAATGAGAGGGAATCGACTAAGATGGTTTGGTCATGTACAACGGAGACCTCTTAGTGCACTGGTTAGGAAAAATGATAGCATTACAGTTAATGGGGCCAGGAGATTTAGAGGTAGACCTAAAAAATATGGTTGGAAGTAATCAAGAAGGATATGATCATGTTTAACTTAACGAAAGAGATGTCACATAATAGAATGAAATGGAAGAATAGGATTCATGTAGCCGACCCCAAACATTTGAGATAAAGGCTTTGATGTTATTGTTTTTTAGTTGTATGAGAGATAAAATGACCTACTTTTTTCAAATCTATTCGTCCAAATATTCATGCTAACCTCAAATATTCATCTAGAGATTTAAAAAAAACGCTTAGGTGCATTGTTGGATTGTGAAGCATGTTCATGATTTTTCATATGTTTGTCAGAGTTCTCCATTTATATACATTTTTTGCGAGTCAAATAGGTGTGATTTTCATAATTTGGTTGCTATATAGGCCCCCCCGGTGTGATTTTCATTATTTGGTTGCTATATAGATCCCCCCTTCAATTTAGTTCTTATATGAGTTTGTTGAGCCTTATATGTATGTATGTTTGCTCCTATTGTGACTTTTGTTCTCTTGTGTTGTAGGGATCTTCTTTACAAGCCAGTTGTTCTGGGTAAGGATGATTACTGAATTTCACATTTACAATCACGTTACTGGTATTTCCTTAATGTCTTACTTCTATTGCAGCATGTGGCCATGTTTCTTGCTTTTGGTGTGTGCATAAAGGCATGCATGGTTTGCGATCATCTCATTGCGCACAATGTAGGCAACCATATATTCATTTTCCTAGTATTTGTTCGCTACTCCACCTTTTGTTACTGAAAATGGAACCTGTGGCCTACAAAAGAAGAGAAAAAGAAGTGCTCGGTGAGTTTTGTGATACTTGAAGATAAAGTTTGCACATTTCACAAGTAATAACACACGTTTTATTTCCTTTCATCATGTTTCAATTATGTTTCCCTTCTACAGTGAGAAATTTCGCTGTTAATAAGTAGAATTTTTTCTCATCATTTGATGGTAGGTAACCAGTTTCTATGATATGTTTTTTTTCCACTTCTCAATATGAGAAAGTAGAAAAGTTGAATTTAATTGGTTATGGATTCTCAGCTTTATTTAAGTGTGCAACAAATCTATAATCCTTGTATCCACACCCTATAAAGGTTTTCTTTTACGTGGTGTGATTGCTAAAATCTTTGGTGAAAATAAGAGACGCTGAGATTTTTCAAATCTTTAGATATGATGCATGAATCCTTTTTGTCCTTTCATGTCTGCTAAGGGACGCAATTTTAGTTCGGCGGGGAAAACCCAATGGTAACAATTTCTTATATAGAGTTCAAATTAAGTTTTTAGCTGTTGTTTGTTACCTGATTCAATTCGTCTCTTTTATCCCAAGTGGAGATTGATATTAAAAGGTTATGCATCAAGCACAACTCTCATGAAATTGAATTGCTCTCTGTTATGTAGCACCAAGACTTCTATCATGAAGCTAAATAATACTTGACAATCCTGATTCAATATGGTAGATCAAGCAGAACCTGATCCACTAATACCGATCTTAGATTTGTATATGAGTCTACCAGTCTATTCCAGATTATAATAGGGTTAGTTCAGATATGAGTCATATGACCATTAAAAACTTTTTTTTGGGGTGTAAATGGGATTACTGAGATAGTGAGGATATTTTTTGAGATTTTTCCCTGAAGGAGTATGGACGAGTTTAGCTTGAAGGATAATTCTTTTCAAAGATAGGTGGAAAGATGATTACAAAGATTTGTGGAATGTCCATGTAATGTAAAAGGGACTATCTATTGAGAGAAGAGGGAAAGTTCCAGGAAATATATCTGGGAATATCCAAAAGATCTTCTATGAGATTGATCTGGAAAGATTGAAGTGAAGTTCTAGGGTGCTCTTCAATCAAATTACGGAGAAGATAATCTGCACAAGGCAAATACTCAAGGTTTCTAAGGCTGTTCACCCTTCAATTGGGCTACGTTCACCCTTCAATTGGGCTACGTTCACTGACGTGGCACCTCAACTAGGATTTTCCAAATCTACTATAGGAAACTTCCACCAGAAGCTCTTTACAGATTACATCACCTCTTTTGGCTTACTTGACAACCCCAAGTGGGCAAGATTTGACCACTCTTTACAATACTAGAAGAGGTCACAACTTTAAATTGCAGAATAAAGTTGTTTCATAATACATCTCTTTGATTGATAACACAATTACAGCTCAATACAATAGTAAGCACTCTTGATCACAAGCTGATGCTTTAACAGCTTGTAAGCTTAAAGTAAGCAATTGATTGGTGGCACTAATTCGGATTACGATCAAAGAGGATTGCTTTGATAAAGATAATGAAGGTTTAGAATATTGTAATAACTCTATTATTTGATAGGTGGTTGGACTGAAATAAATGATCCAAGAGAGAGGTATAAATAGGCAACAGATCTTTAATCATCTAACGAATACAATCAATCCCGTTAGAGATGGATTTGCTAGCTAGGAATAAGATATAATTTGTAAGGACAAGAAGTTATAGCTAATAAAAAAGAGATAAGCACAATGATCTCTCTCTTTTATAGCTGCAATGGTAGATAAAGTAAGTAAAAACTATGGTAAAGAAAGGTAGGAAATAAAAAATGTGTTTAAGGGATGAACGTGATATTCTGGTGAGAGAGAGATTAAATAAAATATTGTTTTGTAAAGATCGAATAGTTTTCTCTTCGGTTAAGTGTTGATGTAGATAAGAAAATAATATAATATAACTTTATAAAGGTAAGATTTGGAGGCAAAGGAGATGTTAGCTAAAGCCTGTCAACATCAAATAAAGAAATGAAAAAGCGGTGTCTGGCCCATGTGGACAAGCTCCCTCTTGATGGCGATGCTAATATTAAAGAAAACTGATTATTTCTGGCTGGAAGAGAATCAGATCAAAGGGAAGATCATAGGCATAGGGGAGATCCAGACTAAGGAAAATATGATTTATCCTAGTGGCCATTACCATCTTACTTTATGATTATCAAACTTCACAAATTAGTTACTAAGACTCAAGAAAAGACATACAAGACTTCATAAGAATTTGTCTTCATCTGAGATAGGAGTAAAATATTGTCAAATGTCAGTATTTAAGGACCATAACTCAATGGTCAAAAGCAATGTCTTTAATATCTGACCGTCTAGGTGCCTGCACTCTCTAATCTATCCCAAACAATTCCAAATGAATGCCTATACATAGAACCAGTTGCCACAGCATAATCAAGTGGACTTGATGAGGACAATAATGTCAATTTTCCATATTTGTTATTTGACTTTCTTTTATTTTAGTTTTGAATAAGGAAGATTTGGCAAGTTCGACCAGATCTTAATTTAGTTTTAATTGTAAGAGATTTGATGGATTTTCTATTTTGGTAGGATTTTAATTTTGAATTTTGAATTTTGGGTCAAATTTGGTAGTAGAGTTAGTTGCAATTTGAGTGATTTGAGGGATTTCAGAATCTGTAATTTTTTCTTTAAAAGACTGCTGTAATCAGATTTTTAAGAAGGAGATTTGAATCAATGAAATTTTTTGTTAACTCATTATTGGTGTGAAGTCTCGGGTGTGAAACCCTAGGTCGACTCCCCTGGCTCCTCTTCCACAAACAACCGCCACCCTCCCCTAGCTCTTCTCCTCCTCCAGCAGTCTCCGTCGTCGCCTCCTCCCCTGCTCCCTTCCACTTCGAGCAGCTCCGCCAATCACCCCTCACTTCGAACAGTCCCGACGAACTTACTCCTGCTCTCCTCCACCTTGAGCAGCCACCATTTTCTCCACAAACCGTCAGATCCACCTTGAACAGTGTAGGCATCGAAAATTGCCTATAGGTCTCCACGAACGGTTCAGTGTTAAAGAGCGACGATGAACGTCACTATCCGATCCACATGAGTCTAACCGACGTCGACGAACGACTGAAGTGAATCGACGAGCTACGTGAGCAGACAGGATTTCGGAACAACGAAGATCCGGACCAATCGGAGACCCGACAGTGTTCACAAAAAGGACAACGCCCTTCGTGCCTTGACCACTCTACAGATAATCCAACAACCAGAGCGGATCGAACTCTTCGTCAAGCATCCAACGCACCCGGAATCACTCAAATCCGAGTTCGGACGAAGAATCTACAGGGAAGACAACGAAATACACCTAAACGGAGTCTCGGCAAGTCGAAATACCCCGGGGGTGTCTAGGAAAAGCCTAGACACCCCAAGGGTGTCTCGGCCTTACCGAGACACCCCAGGGGTGTCTCGGCTTTGCCTAGACACCCCAGGGGTGTCCCAACGCCCTATGTGTGCCTTTATGCCTATAAATAGGAACCTTAGGCCTCACTTTTGGAGGATCTGGATTTTTGGAGAGTTGGCGAAGCCCTGCTGCAGTGAAGAGTG